TGCGGCCCCCCCCCCACCCGGCAGCCGCCGCTTGAATCCTCCCCGTGTCGCTTTCTCCAGCCGTTCTCGGACTTCCAGGTGTCCGAGAACGGCTGGGGTAGGTGGCGCGGGGAGGCTACCGGCATCGGGGACAGGGTGGGGGTGGATCGGGAAGGCTTGCAGCCTACCCGCGCCGCTTACCCAGGCCGTTCCCCATAGGCAAGATCGTTGTGCGATCGCAAAAGCGATGGCAAAAAAGCCATCGCTATGTGATTTTTTCGTTAAATGGGGCGCTCGTTAAGCGAGGCACCACTGTATATACAAGGGAAATCTGTCTTGCATCTACAAACTCTAAGAATCATAGAGGGGAAAAATAGTCAGTACTAAAGTAAAGTAAGATACATAATAGAATTACTTTAAGTGGAAGCCAAAACCATGTTTCAAGAAAGAGTATGTATTAATGTAACATTAAGTGAGAAGCTAAGATTTAAGCAAAAACAGGGTGTTAACATTAGGGACAGAAAGCAAAGAACAAAACTGGTAACAACTAGAGCAAAGTAAATTAGCTACAATTAAAAAGACAAGGACAAGTATATTCAGGGACCAAGATCAATAAAATGCTCACCAACTGGGCTAAATATTTAGCTGTCAACTATTGGAGAGTGAGAAGCATAATGGATGTGGAATGAAATTTTTGGTCTTCCTATACCACCAACATGTATATTATTACTTGGCACTATGCTATGAGAAAGCTTCGTGCCTTTACTGATTGGTCAGGACAGGCACTGTGGTGTTACACATACTTAAAGAAGTCTCCCAAGTTGCATAGAGTATTTGGTCCAAGCAATCAGAAGATGCCCATTTAGTACTGCTCAGTTCTGTCCACCAAGGAACCAATAACTACCTTGGCAATGGAAGAAACTTTAATTTTAACTGTATTATTACCACCATAACAGCCATAACAGAAAATAACAAGTACACCAAGATAAACAGAATGCAATCAAAAGTAGATTTGAAATAAACATACTTTGATGTTCAAATATAGCTTTTGCCTCTTTTTTACCTTGCTTGGCAGCACAGAGGAAGCATCTCCTTATTATTAATTAAAACCTGCAATAGAACTAAAAAAGCTTTTGCTCGAATATCATAAGAAGGACTTTCAAATAATCGAATAACTGTAGTCACAAAATCCTGGATGGAAAGAAGGATAAAAGCACAATGAGAAGAATGCACCAAATTCAATGTCTTCTAAATATTTTAAATAATATATTTCTGGTAATATTTCAGTGAAGGAACAATATTTTCACAAGCCAAAATTATAAAGTAGAAAATAAGAATTCTACTATATGTCAGCCAATTTTCTTTCTTGGAGAAAACAAACAGAAAAAGGGGCAACATGATAAGACATAATGATTCACTAACCAACTTTGGGGGGGGGGGAAGGGGAAGCAAAGAAGGAAAAACGAAAAAAAAGAAAAAAGTTGCATAGAGACGGGCACAAATCACCACTTTGGCAGGTCATGCCAGTTCATTTAGCAAAATAGAAATGAACTTGCAAATTATAAGAAAATATGATTTATGGGACCACTTCTCAGTATGTGTGCATACCTACTCTGGTGCATCAAGTCTTACACAATGTTAGAAAAGTTGTTGCTAATTCTGCTATGGATCACAAATAGAATACATTTGTTAAAAACTGGTGCACATTGGTTTTCTATTCCCATGTCTGATACATTCACATGTGGGTTTTTTGGTTCTTTAAACATCCCTCATATAGTTCCTAGGAGGGAAAGTATAAAACAACAAAACAAACTCTTCCAAAACAAAGCCCAAGGATTTTAAGACACAGTGGGGCTAGCAAAATGTCCTTTCTTCTCAGAGGTCTATCTGTATTTCCTGACTAGCCTGTAATCTGCTAGAAAGCAGCAAGCTTTCATTACATTCTAGAAATTAGAGATGCAGAAAAAGTGTCAAAATGGCACTTCATCTTGGTTAATGGATCACCAAACGTGATGACCAATGAACCATGAATTGCCCCCCCCAGTGACCCAAGGAACAACTAATCAATTTGTCATCCCTCTGGTCATTTTCCCCTCTCCCTCCTCCTACTATGTCCCAAGGGCATAGCAGGAAGAGGGAAATCAAGGATCAAAGTGATCCTGCAGCGTTTGATCCCTTTTTCTCTCCTCTTGCTAAGCCCTGCAGGGCATAGCAAGAAGAGGGAAACCAGGGATCAAAATGATCCCACAGCGCTTTGAACCCTTTCCCCTTCCTCTTAGCTAAGTCCTGCAGGGCACAGCAAGAAGAGGGAAACCAGGGATCAAAGTGATCCCGCAGCGCTGATCCCTTTTTCCCTCCTCTTGCTAAGCCCCACAGGGAATAGCAAAAAAAGGGGAAAGCAGGGATCAAAGTGACCCCGCAGCGCTTTGATCTCTTTTCCTCTCCTCTTGTTTGGTTCTCCTGGCTTGGTTGACCTTTACTCCTCTTCCTGTGCCCGCAGGGCATAAGAGGATGGAAAGCAGGGGTCAAAGCCATCCTGCAGCCTTGGGCTGGGAGATCCCTTTGATCCCTTCCCTCCTCTTATGCTGCAAGGGCATAGGAAGAACAGGAAAGGGGAACCAAGCCATTTCCCAGCCCAATTCCCTTTTCCAAAGGGAAAACCCTTCTCTGCTTATGTCCCTGAGGAACAGTTGATCCGTGGGGCCTAAACAGAAAGGGAATGAAGGGATGACTATAAAAGGGTTACTGTATATTCACTGCTTCGTATTAGTTGGGGTCTCTGGATCCCAAGAATACGAAGCTATGAATATCTCACAAATCAGGGTTATTTAATGAATATCCTGATTTGTTTTTATATTCAAATATAATTTCTATTAGAAATTCTTCGACACAAGCCTATAACTATGCACCTGACCTGAATTCCAAGCATAGCCGATTTCTTCCCATCTCTACGTATCAATTATGATAACATTCTCAGGATCTTATAGCCTACCAAACTGCATAGAAAGAATCACAAAATGCATACATCTATTTTGTTACATCTAAATATAAGAATAAAATCACTCCCCTACCACCTGTAAACGGACAATAGTCAAAATCCTGTTACTTAGTACAGCAAATTGCACTACAGCAGGCCCGCTGAAACAAGAAATGTAGTGAATCAATTTCTTCATAAGTTCCATTGATTTAAATGGGTCTACTCTAACTATTTCTTATTTTAGCACAGTAAGTCACAGTTAGAATAGGTCCAATTGAATTAATGACACTTATAGAGGAGTTGACTCACTAAAACCTGCTAGACCTATTCTAGTACAGTATTATTTTGGCCAATGTCATGGCTTCACTCACAACTTTATCTAGGCCTGTGGCCTATATCTTTGTATGACGATTCATCTCACGTTCTTAGAGTTCTTACTTTGATATATAGATTTTTCTCCTAATCATCAATCTAGTATAACCAGGAAAATGGCATTTTTGAGCAGTTCTTACCTAGATTTTATAGATCATTATAAAAATTAACAGATGTTATATTTTTCTATGTATAAGATGCCCCAAATTATCTAACCCAAAATTCAGAAATCAATATTTTAAACATTAGAAAGGAACACATTTTAGTAATTAGGTAACATTTGCATACCAGTACTATGTTATGCATCACACTTAGGTGAGGAAATAACTTCATTCACCCTCATTTGCATAACTGATTAAATTCAGTTTAAATTTTGCCGAGTAAGACATTCACTAACTTTCTTTTTCATTTTCTGACAACTTTATGAGCTCAGTGATCTTTACCTGTCACTGTCGCATTGCCTACACCAGTGGGGCAAACCTTTTTGAGCCCGAGTTCCCAAATCAGCGGGCACCCTCTGGGCCAGTGTGTCCTCCAGAGGGCTGCCTTCCCCCTGCCCAAATATAGGCAAGACCTTCACTTGGGCTTCCTGCGCTGTGCTCCACCCCACTCACTCACTCTCCTGCAGCGCCAGAGTCACAGTGAACGGTGAGCAGTGATTTTGCACTGAGGGGTGGCCAGGCGCAGCTCCTCCTTTGCCTCCTCCTGCTATCACCACCTGATCATCACCTCCAGCGCCACTCATGGGCTCCCTTTGGGCAGGATACAAGGCCACAGCGTGAGCTCAAGCTGAACCCCGGCAGTGAGCAGTACAGCACCAGGCTGGCATGGACAGTAGCATCGGCATGGCTCTGCGTGCCAGCTATGGCATACATGCCATAGGTTCGCCATTGCTGGCCTACATGCTCTCCTCCGCATCAGCTTATGTCATTTACATAAGGCTCATGACTGGAGGAAGCCCGTTTACAGAGACAAGCTATCAGCAGTTTCAGTCATGACTGGAGGCAGACTACTTTGCAGAGACATGAGCAATTTCACAACTGCATGGTTTTCTCCTAAACTTACTTCCATGTATAAGATGACCCTCAATTTTTAATCTAACGATTTTAGGAAAAAGTAGTGTCCTATACATGGAAAAATATGGTAGATGGCCCTCTTAATCAATTCTGCTTGTTTGCTTGCTTCCTTTAAGGTTATTGGATAATACTTTATTAAATAACGTATAAGACACTTTTGCACATCATTTTAAAGAAAAGGCATCCTATATCATTTAATTAAAACTGGACAAAAATTGAATCAGGTATTTCAAATTCCTCACTGCTGTTTTGAATCTGTTTCCAGAATCCAAGAAAACACAGTGACTAAAAGAGAACATAATATAAAACTCAGTATACCATTTCAAACAGCCATTTGATGAAATATTTGTAACACAAGAAACAATAAGCTTAAATCAAACCTTTTCTTGAACGAGTCTTTGCAAATGGATTCCATAAGACAACATAGAAGAGAACATAGTCATCATGTACTGCTGAACTTTGCATATTCCAGTTGCCAAAGAGTGTATTACAGCTGTTAATCCCACCTTTTCAATCACACTCTGGAAAGCACTAGGTGAGTGGTGAGTTATTTTGCATAACGCCTGTGTAAAACAAAAATGTTACCTAGGCAATGCTTTAATTTAATAAATGTAAATACCGATTTTAGAACTTATTCATATTTTCTTTTTTCCTTAGACCTTATTTAACTACACAGGATGATTTTTGGCCTCAAAGTAGCTTGAAGCAGAGAAAGAGAAATAAATATGGTGAAACTGTTCAGCATCTTGACCAGTTGCTTCTTTTTAAAATGTATAATCTTTAACATTCTATAACCCTGAAATGTAAAACATTGCAATAAATAATTCTTTACTTCACTTTAAAAGTAACTATGAAAAATTATACTCATGACAGCTGAGTGAGTACAAATAAGATGACCTTTAAGGCAACGGTGCAGCACCTCTGGAAAGAAGTTCCATTGCTTCAAACCTATTTTGATAGGCCTTTTCTTCATTTCTGGCTTGCTAGTTTTATTCACTGGCATTGTTTTCATTTACTATTCTTAATTCCTTTATATTGTACATTGCCTAGGGATGGTTTTACCTTTAAATGCCAGTACTCTTGCTTGTTTTCTCATGATGTTTGGTTCCATACATGAGATTCAGGCTGAATGCTCCATGGCCTAAATCAGATTGTTAGTTCGAAACAGAATAGACCCAGTAAATCTATGAGAGTTACATGTTTGTTGGCCTACCATATTCCATTAACTGAATGGACATACTATATTTGAAATTAACAATCTCACTTAATCCCATTATAAAAGATTAAGGAAACTTTTTTTTAACTTTGGGGGAAAGGGAGCCCCACACAGATCCATAGCATGAATAGGATGCTTTAATATTTCTGCAGATATAATTGCATACAGCCAATCTCAGCTCCAGTTTATACAAATCACAGAATTATGTAGTTAAAGCTTGTTCAGGAGATATTAAAAACTTGTATCACTTATGGTGCAGGCTACATTTGAACATTCTGTCACTTAAACAAGCACACATACGCACACAAGAGAGGAGGCTTCAGTCTATCCACCCCTCTCATTTGCTTTTTATACAAGTGCAGAGAGACTGAATATCAAGACATAAGTGCAGGAAATCATACAACCAGTCACACTGGACCAGACAAATCTGAAATCTCACTAAAGTTTTGATTCTGTTGAATCTATATACCAGCCTAATAGATTATGTCTGAAGAAGCTAGGAAAACACTGATCAATTAATCATCCACATAAATACTATTTATGTTCTCTTTAGTAAGAAACTATTAAAAAGCTTCAGTGCTATTTCAAAGTCAAATTTTAGAACTGCTGGACAGCTTAGTGGCTTAGGTATCTAGCTGTCAAGCCAGAGGCTGAGAGTTCAATTCCTCACTGTGCCTCCTTGGTAGGGGCTGAACACAATGGTACATAGGGTCCCTTCCAGCTCTGCAGTTTTAAGATGCCAATGATGGTGATTATCTCTTTAATGAGAAGCTGTTAAAAAGATTCAGTGTTGTTTCAAAGTCAAATACAATGGTGCCTCGCTTAATGATTACCTCGTTAAACGACGAAATCGCTTTATAGTGAATTTTTTGCGATCGCTATTGCGATTGCAAAACAATGTTTCTATGGGAGGAAATCGCTTAATGATGATCAGTTCCCTGCTTCGGGAACCGATTTTTTGCTAGACGACCATTTTAAAACAGCTGATTGGTGGCTCTAAAATGGCCGCCTGCTGTGCAAAATTGCTCCCCGCTGTGCTTTAGGATGGATTCCTCGCTTTACAGGTACCGGAAAATGGCCGCCCTATGGAGGATCTTCACAAAATGAGCAGGTATTTCGCCCATTGGAATGCATTGAACCGGTTTTTAATGCATTTCAATGGGTTTTTTAATTTCGCTTGATGAGGATTTCATTTAACAGCGATTTGAATGGAACGAATTATCCTCGTCAAGCGAGGCACCACTGTACAGTCCACAGTACTGTATTATAGACTAGTATCTTATTGCTAGTCCCTACTAGAATAAATCCATTAACTCAAAAAAATTTTAATAAGTGCTAACTTACCATTTGCTAATTTCTTCAATTGCCCTACTCTAGTTGAAAGAAGCAATAGAATACTGGCCATTATGAACAACAAAAAAGGCATTGTAAAGCGTAGTTGTAGGTTATGTTCCCAAACATAAGTTGGCAATGCTGCCTGGTACCTCTAATTTGGACTCAATTTGCATTACTTTATATTTATTTCAGGAATTCAGTGAAGTTCACCATTAACAACGATAACATGCAATAAAACAAAGAATTAGAAGCCATTCTGGTGTTAGCACACTGAAGATGGCCATGCACTTGGATCTAATATTTTTATTTTATAGCTACACAAATTCAATTTTTTAAAAAATCTCTGGTTTATGATGTGGGATATTGCTTCTATACCCACAATTCAAAAACAACAGGAAACGGCCCAGCACTGCTTTGTAAAATCATGCACTGTCTGAAGGAAAAATGATGCTAAGCTTTACAAAGCCTGAATGTTAATGACACGAATGTCAACAACTAAGATGGTCTGCAGGGTCCCCTCTTGTGCTTACTCCCACTCACAAGCAGACATCAAGCAAAGGAAAATCCAAGCATTTTAAAGTTGACATATGGTGGTGCCTCGACTTACAAATGTCCTGACTTGCGACCAATTTGAGTTGCGACCAGACCTACCCTCAAAATTTTGCTTTGATTTGCAAGTGGAATTTTGAGTTACAGAAAAGGGCGGGGAAATTTGAACTGCTAACCATTGGTCAGCGAAGACGCTGCTTCTTTGTAGCTCTTTTGCTCCAGCGATTAGAGAGTGTGAATTCGGAGGAGGCTTCAGACTGCCTGGTAAAGTACTGCTTTTTGCTTTTTAAAAACTGCCTGTTCTGGGTGGGTTTTGCAGTGTGGGTTTGGACTGGGTGGTGGGGCTATGTTTCTATGTTGTGATGGGTTTTGCAGTGTACTTTTTAGTGTGTTTTTAGTGGGGGGTTTGGCTGGAATTAATTAATTACGTTTCTGATGGGTCTTGCAGTGTGTTTTTAGTACCTGTTGGAATGGGTTTGTTTGATTCGGGGGGGGTTATCTTTCTGTGCTTTGATGGCTCTTGCAGCGTTTTTTTGGGGGGGTTGGCTGGAATGGATTAGTCATGTTTCTGATGGCTCTTGCAGTGTGTTTTTAGTACCTGCTGGAATTGGTTTGTTTGATTCGGGGGGTTATGTTTCTGTGCTTTGATGGCTCTTGCAGTGTTTTTTAGTGTGTGTGTTTTTAGGGGAGTGGGGTCAGCCAGAACAGATTGTGTTTCAGTGTATTCCTAGGGGAAATGGTGCTTTGAGTTATGACCAATTTGAGTTACAACCATCTTCTGGGATGGATTAAGTTTGTAACTCAAGACACCACTGTACCTTCTAAAGAATAGGATGTATCAAGTTCATACTCAAAGATCCAAAAAAAAACTTGTAATAGGAACTGTTTCCTTTTGAGGAAGAAGTAACAGACATTCAAAAATAAGTACTGAACCTGCTACAATCCAAAAAAATTGGTAGTAAAATGTGTTAAGGGGGTGATTTTTTAAAAACTAAAAGTGTCCAACCTTCTCCAAATCTGGCATAGAGGAAGCCTATACTGGCCACAATCACTTTGCTAAACATGGTCCTGAACCGAGAACCCATTCAAAAGCTATATCTTTTGTACGTATTGTCCCTTCCCAACAGAAATGACTTATGAAATGTTGTTTTGACTGATCACACAGTATCAGAGGTGTACTCCTGGGCACCTTTAATACATGTGGTAGATCTTTCGCTATTTCTCTTTCAATTCAGTGGCAGACCTTTGTATAAGCATACACTGGATATAAAAAGTTAACACACCCCTGTTAAAATGTCAAGTGTCTGTGATGTAAAAAAATGAGACAAAGATAAATCATTTCATAACTTATACCACCTTTAATGAGACATATGAACTGTACAATTCAGTTGAACAACAAACTGAAATATATTTGCGAAGGCTTTCACGGCCGGAATCTAATGGTTGTTCTGGGTTTTTCGGGCTCTTTGGCCATGTTCTGAAGGTTGTTTTTCCTGATGTTTCGCCAGTCTCTGTGGCTGGCATCTTCAGAGGACAGCAACCTGTGCCTGAAATCTTGTAGGTGCAGGGAAGTAAAAATAAAAAACTGAAATAATATCGTTGCATCTGTGTGCACACCCTCTTATAACTGGGGATGTAGCTGTGTTCAGCAGTAAACAATCACATTCAAACTCATGTTAAGTAGGAGTCAGTACAGCCCTGCCATCATTTAAAGTGCCTCTGAGGAATCCCAAATAAAGATCAGCTGTGCTAGTAGGTCTTTCCTGACATTTTCTTAGTCACAGAGAGCTTTCAAAGCATCAGAGGGATCTCATTGTTAAAAAGGTATCAGTCAGGAGAAGGGTACAAAAGAATTTGCAAGGCATTAGATATACAATGGAACACAGTGAAGACAGTTATCATCAAGTGGAGAAAATATGGCGAACAGTGACATTACCAAGAACTGGACGTCCCTGCAAAAGTGATGAAAAGACTAGAAGAAAATTGGTCAGGGAGGCTGCCAAGAGGCCTCCCGCAACATTAAAGCAGCTGCAGGAATATCTGGCAAGTACTGACTGTCTGGTACATGTGACAACAATCTCCCGTATTCTTCACATGTCTGGGCTATGGGTAGAATGGCAAGACAGAAGCCTTTTCTTACGAAGAAAAACATCCAAGCCTGGCTAAATTTTGCAAAAACCCATCTGAAGTCTCCCAAAGGCATGTGGGGAAAAGTGTTATGGTCTGATGAAACCAAGGTTGAACTTTTCTGCCCTAATTCCAAAAAAGATGTTTGGCGCAAAAACAACACTTCACATCACCAAAAGAACACCATATGCACAGTGAAGCATGGTGGTGGCAGCATCATGCTTTGGGGCTGTTTTTCTTCAGCTGTGACAGGGACCTTAGGGTAGAGGGAATTATGAACGCTTCCAAATACCAGGAAATATTGACACAAAACCTTCATGCTTCTGCTAGAAAGCT